GGGGGGAGAGGAGTGCGGGGCCCAGTCGGAGGAGCTGAGTGGAGGGCGGAGGGGGCGCTGTGCAGGGGGTGGGGTCTGGAGCCCCGCCGGCCTTGGGCCTCGGGGTAGACGGGAGGGTGCGGTGGGGCCCGGGGGAACCGCGCGGTCGGGGATCTGGGAGCGATGCTAGAGGAGCCGCGTGGATGGGTGGGCCGGGCAGCGTGGGATGGAGGAGCGCGGCTGGGCCGGAACCGCTTGGAGGCCGGTGCGCGAGGTGGAGGCCTCGGGTTGAGGTGGAGTGGCTGGGGGGCCCAAGGAAGGCTTTTCACCCCGAGACCGTGGAAGATGTTTGGGATCGGTGGGGGGTGCCGGGCGAGGGACGTCCCGGCATTGAAGACACGCAGGGGAACGGAGATCCGGGTTGCTGGGGAGAGGACCGTACAACCTGGCGGCCTGCAAAGGGGTTGGGGCGATGAAGAGCCGGGGTGGGGAATTTTAGGGGGACCCCGGGGTGTGCGGTAAGGCGGAGGGGAGCCGCTGGATGCGGGGCCCAGGAATGACCGGAGGGATGAGAGGTCCGCGGAGAGTCTGCAGACCCCGCTTGCGGCGTGCACAGCATGTATCAGCAGCCGGGTTGCGAGTCGGTGTGCGGGGCAGTGGGTCCTCGACCACCGACTTCCTGGCACGTGGGGTTGAGGGCACCTAGGGGGGCCTGGGCAGTGGGCATTTCCGGGTGCTCTGCAGCCTGGGGGTTCAGGGAAGTCTATGGAGGGCTGAGGGGCGGAAAGGGGCCTGTGGCTCGCCGAGCTGGGCCAGGACTCCCAGTATCAAGGGCCTCCGGCCGCTGTCAAGCCTGAGGTGCCAGTCAGAGCATGGGCCTGAGCAAGCGCCCCCTCAGCTTCGGAGGGTCGGAGACCTTGGCGCCCGTGTCTTCTTGTTCTAACTTGCAGGCCCAACTAGCCACCCTGTCCGCCGGGGGGCGGAGCAGTGCCGTACGGGGGCGGGTCGCGGGCGCTCGCGCGCGAGTTCCGCCAATCAGGCGGCGGGGTGGGTGGAACCCGAGGGTCGCAACGGAGTGGGCGGGGCCAAGAAGGCCGGCTCGGGAAGCGCCCCTTGACTCCGTCTTCTCGCCAGCTTGCGCGCGCAATTCGGCCGGGGCGTGGGCGGGGGCACACATCCTAACTCCCGGAAGATTCTCAGGAGCCGAGGCTAGGGCGACTTGCCCTGCTTCACGCCGGCGGGAGCTCGGAATTGGATGTACCCTGGTTGTGTCTGCAGAGTTGGAAAGAACACTTCCGCAAGCGCCGTCAGCCTGCAGACCTCACTGGTGTCTCCACCTGGTGGAGCCTGAGCGTGTCACTGTGGGAGACAATCCCCGGGGCTGGGCTCCTGGGGTTGAAACGGTGGGAAAACATGTCTGCGGAGCAGTTGTTAAAGAACTGAGCGTTTTGCCCCCAATCCGAGACCTCGAGTGGCATACTGGTTGCTCTAGGGGTGTTCTCACTTGTTCTTCCTGGAGGACCTTTGGGTCCTCAGTGAACAGCCTGGGGCAGCCGAGCCTAGACCATTGTGTCTTTTTTATTAGGAGGGCAAGCCCTGGTGTGACTCGCCCAACTTCGGGCCATGACCCAAGTGCAGACTCAATTAAAAACCAGTACTTGCCTTGTCCCAACTTCCAATGCCTGTCCCGTATGTTACAAGGATACTTTTGGTCCTGGGATTTCGTTGACTCAAATGTTTTCTGAATTCACTTGAAAGACTGCTGAGTTCCAAATGGCTAGAGCGGGTCTTCTAGAGATCCCTATGCTGGGAGAACTGGGGATAGGGTTCTACAGTTTGGGGTATATAACTACAAATATTGGCTTCTTTGATGCTTGGTCAATGAAGCATCACAAATTGTCCATCAGCAAGGGCATTTGGAGTCACCTGGTCACATGTCTAAGCCCTGGATTCCTTTGGCAAAGGGAGAGGGTAGGGGTACTTCCAAAGACTGTTCATTTGACTAATTCAGAACTACAGCAAGCGATTTCTTGTGTGAGAGTCTTTCCTCTTTGGCCTTTTCTGTAGCAAATATTCTGCAGGATCCTCCAGCATGGATTCTTGCCTCACCTGCACCCTCTACCATCTTCAGCTTCCTGAAATCACCTGCAGAAACCCCCCAAAACTTTACCCAAGTTTTGTTTCAAGTTCATGCAGGCAAACATCTTCCTTTTAAATTTATTTTTATTCAATTTTTGAAAATTTCATATATGTATACAGTGTATCTTGATCATATCGATCCCCATTCCCCGCCTCCAACTCCCGAAGGACTCCCCATTACATCTCCCACTCAACATGTCTTTTTTTTTTTTTTTTTTTTGTTTTTTTGGTTTTTTGGAAACAGGTCCCCCCTGTCCCCCCGCCTTCCCAGACCTCACTATGTAGACCAGGCTGGCCTTTAACCCAAAGAGTCCCCCCTGCCTCTGCCTCCCGAGTGCTGGGATTAAAGGCATGCGCCACCATGCCCCGGCCATGTCCTCTTTTTTATAATTGTTTAACCCACTGGGTCTAGGCAATGCTGCCCTTATGCATGTGGGTGTGGGATCATCCCCTGGGGCATGGAGAATTTACCAGTGAATATACTCCTAAACAAAAGATTCCGTTCCGCAGCAGCTATTAACTGCCAATAGCTCCTTAGGTAGGGGTGAGGCCCCAGGAATCTTTCCCTCCTCCATGCTGGAATTTTTAACTAGCCTGATGTTGTGCAGGTCTTGTGTGGGTAACTATTACTTCTGTGAGTTCATGAGTGCAACAAGCATGTCCAGAGGGCAGAATTTCACAGCTTTTATATTCTTTCTGCCTTCCCTTTCCACAATAGTCCCTGAGCCTTTGTGGGAAGCCTTGATATAGATGTCCCCTCTGTGGCGGACAACTCACAGTCACTATCCTCAGCATTCTGAGCAATAATTTCTCTGCCTTAACCACCACCCGCTTCAATAAGAAGCGTCTCTGACCAAGGTCAGGAGCAGCACCAATATGGTGGCCTGGGGAAGAGAAGTTCTCAGCTTTCTGACTTTTCAGCCTTTTTCCCTTATGCTATTCATATAAAAACTCAATTTATTAATAGAAATTAAAAATATTACCCATCCTTAAATCAGTTTTCTCCATTTCTCCCTGTCTGCATATATACTGACAAGGTTTTTTATGTAGCTATTAAACCATGTTTAAAACGATAAGATTAACATTTTTCTATGTGGTGACATAACTGTAATAAATGATTGCATAATATTGCACTGAAAGTGTCTTAGATAACACAATGTTTTGGTTTTACAGATGTGCCAACTGATTAACCATGAGGAGAAAGTATGTCTTTCTCTTAGTTATTACACCATATACAAGATGCCTGTGGAGGACAAAAGAGGGCATCAGATCCCCTGGAACTAGAGCTGTGGATGATTATTAGCTGCCCTGTGGGTGCTGAGATTCAAACCTGGGTCTTCTGCAAGAGCAGTCAGTGCCCTTTACCACTGAGCCATCTCTCCAGCCCCAAGTAAGTTTTTGATCTTGGAAGGGAAATGCCAAAGAGTGACACAAACTTCAGAAATTACAAAAGATGAGATGGATAAACTTGGCCCTCTTTGTTCATTTAACAAACGTTTACTGGTGCTGGAGAGATGGTTCAGCAGTTAAGAGCCCTGACTGCTCTTGCAGAGCACCAGGCTTCAGTTCTCAGCACCCTCATGGCAGCTAAAACTGTCCATAAACTCCAGTTCCAGAAGATCTGATGCCCTCTTCTGGCCTCTGCAAGCATTACATACATGGGTGTACTTAAAACATGCAAGCAACACGTATACACATAAAAACAAATTTTAAAAAACAAGCATTTGCTGTGTGCAAGGCTCTGGTCTAGTCATTGGGGATGATGGAGTTGAGCTGTCATTCTTTATACATACCAGGCATGACTAAGGCTATCCCTAGGGAGGCCTTAAACCTGGAGGTACTTTGGGGCTCTCTAGGAATTTGAGCAATGTAACCCCAGTGACCAGATGACAAGTGTTAGCCATTGGAGGTCAACCCCCATCACAGCTCTGAGAGGCCCAGAAACAGTTGAAAGGAGCCCAGGGGCTCTAGCCAGACAAGAGCACTCAGTGTCTGTAGAAACCATGTTTCTCATACTCCCATCATACAGTGACCTTGTACCACTGGTATAAAGACAGACAATATGATTTTTATTTTCCAGTTCTGGGGATTGAACCCAGGTCTTTATATACACTAGGCAAGCTCTCTACTTTTGAGCTGCATCTCCAGTCTGACTTAATTTTTATTTAAGTATAACTTTACATTGGGAGACTAGTGGGTAAGATCTTAAAAAAAAAAAAAAAAAAGGCAGGGCACATGAGGTTAGAACTAAGGGGCCAACCAGGGGAGTAGACAGGAAGACAGATGGAAAGCATTGGCGAGGACAACCTGACCTGGACTGGTAGAGCCCTGGGGCAGACCACCTTCCAGTGTTGTGTGGTGAGTCTTACCTACTGGTTTGGCTTGAGGGAAGTGCAAGGAGGAAAGGGCTTTCCACTTTCCAGCTTGGGTGCCCAAGTAGAGGGTTGAAGGCCATCTGAGATGCACTCGATCTATCATTCCCAACCTGTTCTCCATCTTTGAGTCTG